ATAATAAGTAAATTTGATTCTTTTTCGAATATTTTTTATAATAATACTTACGAAGGACCATCATCAAAACTAGAGTAAATTTGCATCTTTAAGTTTTCTCATTTATTTCTTTTTCTTTTTTTCCAGGCATCTCCAACAACTTGCATTTCCTGCCCATGTCCTGTTTACTATAGATTCATTCTCAGTCATCAGTTTTGTTCTTGTATACAGCAGATAAGATAACAGGATATTCTGGCAAATTTGTCGGTGTAAAATGCAATTATTGGAGAGTCATTACTTGAAGAATATCTTGATACGGTTGAAGATGAACAATGTACTCAATGTGAAAAAGACAAAACACAGAGTACAAAGCACACAAGTTCTATGATCAGGCTAACGTGAATATTCAGTAGATCGAGTCTCGTCCAATTGTTACATTATTTTAATTTAAATAGTAACTATTTTAAATTAATTTAGCAATTTAGATATGATATAGGATTGAACTATTCTTATTTATTTATCGGAATTCAAAAACCTGTAATTGATTATGCCTAAATAAAAATTTTAATTTAGTCTAAAATGACCAGATATTTTATTTTCCATAAGGAGAATAGACGAGGTGATAGTTAATCCGTGTCCAATAACCTTATGATTTTCTAACTTTTATTACGAGCCAAACTCAGCGGTCATATTTCATACAGTTCCATTGTTTTCTCATTGAGATTCAAGACCTAATAAGCGAAGACGCCAAGAAAAAATCCTGTCCATCCGCCATAATAATAACCGAATTCCTATGAGCAAATTAACACCTTGCCATAGCATTCATATATGTTTGCTAAATTTAATAATAATTTTCATTAGTATCATCAGTGTAATCCCCTTCTTCAGTGGGACCGTTTCACCATTTTCTTTTAAATTCTCAAAGTTTACCTTGCCAGTGTCCTGTTAGACTCATAATGATAACGACCAATAACGACATTGGGAGAAGCACGAGCCGATTCATCATCTTCAAAAAAGAGGAAAAGGAGAATCTCGTCACATGCGTTATTAGCAATATCATAAAAGTCTTCATATTGAACTTAATGAGTCGTATAAAAGTAAGTATGTGATAAATTATTATAAGGTCATATCGATATGGAATTAATTAAATGATGAAACATCACGAGAATTATAATAATATTAATGTAAAACGGATTATCAAACTCTCAGGTTACAACTACCCTTCCCAACAATTATAAATATTCCTTTTAGGTATTTGGTATATTTTTCTCCCATTGAAGCATGCGAAATTTTATTAATAATAGACACGGCAAGTTTTTCCGATAAAACCAACTTTTATCTGAACTTGTTTAAACTATTATAATAGAATTATTGCTTTTTGAAATTATTTTATTTCTCATAAATCCATTAATTCTTTGATAATTACATTGTAATACTAAATCTTTTAAAACATGAAGTCAAAATCTTTCTTCGCACCGGTTGCAATTCTGGCACTCATTGTTTTAATTAATGCAAATCTTACAGTTTCGATACCTCAAAACAATCCAATCACTCCAATATCCCCAGCACCGCCTGTCACAACACCTCCAGCTGGCACTCCGCCGCCTGTCACAACACCTCCAGTTGGCACTCAGCCGCCTGTCACAACACCTCCAGCTGTCATTCCGCCACCTGTCACAACACCACCTGCTACTAATAATAATACATTCCCATCTATTCCACCAGTCACTGATGTTACCGCAATTCCTACCATTAATACGAACACCACGACGACATCTAACGTGAATACAAATACCACAACAACAGCTACTAACACAACAACCACAAGTTCATCGGGCAAACCAGCAAACACAATAATTGTAGACATTAATGCTGACAATCAGAATACATTTTCACCAAATATTGTAAACGCTCACCCTGGTGATGTTATATTATGGAATTGGAAAAATGGAAATCATTCGCTTTTAGAGTCGACAATGTCCGATCTATGTTCAAAAAAAGTTACAGGTACGAACGCATAGCATACATTATTTTTTTTCACAAAAAAGTAATTAACGATACAAGTAATTTATTCTAGGAATTTCTGTTGGACCATATGGACCACCATATACATATTCATATACGGTACAAAATAAAACACCAGTTCTGTTCTATTGTGGTGCGAAAGATCAGTGAGTAATAATTAATGAATATAAAGTACCCGTATTATGAAATAATAACTAACATATTTATTAAAAATTAATAGTTGTCAAAGCGGCGAAAAAATTCTTATCAATGGACCTGCTGGATTTTCATGGGATGATACGACAACGTATACGACCAAAATAGTAATATCCACCGCACCACCTTCTTCCAACTACTTAAGTTCCGCTGGAATACAACATCCTTCGGCTGGTCAAAGGATGCTATCATTTGCTTTAGCTGCGCTTTTCTCTGTAATAATGGCTTAAGCAATTTCATACAAAAGCCAATGAAACTCATCGTGAATTATTAATATTCAAAGCTCTCAAATAAACAACATCGTGAATTATTAATATTCAAAGCTCTCAAATAAACAAGTTTGACTTTAAATTTTTTTTGAGAATAGGAGAAGATAGTTGTCTTTGTTACTTATCAATTTAGTAAAATGTGCAAATGAATTGAAACAAAGAATTCATAGCTTTGGAAAATATCGATAGAGGAAAATAAAAAAAATGTTCGAATCAATAAATCACCTGATTGTTGGTTCATATATTTTCAGCCATCATGAAAAATTGGCCCATTTACACTGCATATACATGTGTATTTTACAGTATTTCACTTGATACATGTACATATTACTAATCACGCAGTCATACGAGAAATTGGTTATATGAAGCAATTTCTTGAATTGTTAAAAATCTCGCGTTTTTATTTCATTTTAATACATTTCGATTTAATACAATATCGATATCTCCTTTCTTTTCTACGTTAACTAAATTACGTATCCCGTATTAGTAATGTTGTGATACAAAAATTAATCTATAAAAAGAATAGATAACAGAAACCATATGTGCAATAAGAGAGCAAAAACCTGATTTATCGTTATCGCTTAAATATAAATTCGATACAAATACATTTTCGACTTTTCTTTAAAATCAATTAACAAAAATGTGCTATGTGAGCTTTTAAATTACGGATTATTATTATTATTCGATTAATTTATTACTTGAATGCTAATTAATGATTCAATTAATAACTCATTTAGACTGTAGCTTGCACTAAGTGTCAAAAAACTACTTGGGCTGGATGTGGACGTCATATTCAAGCCGGTAATTCTTTGACATGATTTTTTATTCTAAAACTCGACAAATATTGACTTTTCTTTCTTCAAATAATAATTCGAAAGCTCTTAAAGGTGTCGCTGAAGAAGATCTTTGTCATTGCAAAAAAACAAATTCTTCTTCAAAGGTGGCTGCCACTAAAGAAGGTATAACGTTATTAGAAACTATTGTTTATGGTGCAATAATATTTGCCATTGCTTTATGGTTGTCAGGCGTTCAAGTACAAGAGTTGCTTTTTTCCTATTAAATAGCACAAACGTCCAACAATCAACAGGCTAAGCAAGAGTCGTCATTCAACAGTCAGCCAACTGTCCAGTTGAAAATTTGATTAACTTTTTTCTTATGATGAAATTTTATATTTTTGTGGATTTATATTTTTTTTCTCTATTAGTATATTATATACATGTATATTGATGTTTATTGCATTAAAAATTTGGTAAACACGTTAAACAATGAATATACAACGAGGATCAATGGTGTTGCTATCGTTATAGGAAACTTGTGTTATCGTTATGGATAACAAATTACATGTAAAATAAAAAATAAATTCGGGGCAGTATGCACAAATTTTAATTAGCATACATACATATATGTTGAAAAAATTTTTTATGGTAAATTAATTTTATTATGACTTGTACTGAATTATTATCACCATAACTTACTGCGATTTAAATACAATATCAGAAACTTTTTCGATGTCATCAAGCCCTCGTAATAATAGAATTTGCATTGTATAATAACATCCGTTTTTGTTAATAAACAAACAATTTGCGGCCGATTTTTTGTGTCCACCCGCCACGAGGATATTATTAATTTTCGCAATTGTGAGAAATAATTTACCAGTGTTTTTTTAAAATGAAAAATGTCATAAATTTTATTGGTGAGTTGGGAGTACATGTACATGTATTTTGAATGTATGCAATGTGCTATGTCAATCCCTGTATTATAGCCGAATCTTTGTAAAGTCCTGCTGTACGATTTGTTAATGAGATTAAACAACCGATTCATCGAATCAATGACGCACATTGCTCCTGCATAAGTCTATATGTGTACTACTTTTAGACAATCCAACTTCGTATAAATTAAATAGCATTCATGCTTTCTTTCTGTCGGTCAAAAGAGGTTGCAAAACCAAGAAAAAAATACTGCCAAGCAAATCAATAAAATTTGACAATTGAAATGAATAGGTTGTCATTATCTTTGTTCTCCATTTCATTTTTCATAATTGGTTCTTGGGCTGTGATAAATCTTCCTGGATCATGGCCACTTCTAGACATCCCACCGCCTCCAGATCCTTCATGGAGTGCACTCGTTAATCAAACTTCTATATTGAATATTCCTCTCTCAGGTGCAACATGTCCTATCACTCCATATTGTAGCTGGCGATGTGCTCCAAAATGTACGCGTAGCACCGATGTCGTATATTGCCCGCGAAAAAATGGTCTCGTAAATATCTTAGATTACTCTTTTTTGTTCTATATTAAAGTTTATAATTTTATTTAAATAATATTCATTATTATTATTTTAGACTGGGGGTTCAGGTATTTTATATTGGAAGTGCTTAAAAGAATAAAAATAGTTTTTTTAATGGACAACCTTTTTTTTTTTGAAATCGTACTCTAGTTTTGATGATGGTCCTTCGTAAGTATTATTATAAAAAATATTCGAAAAAGAATCAAATTTACTTATTAT